TTCCCTACCCAAATCTCACCTTGAATTGTAATCATCCTCATGTGTTATGGGAGGTATCTGGTGGGATGTAATTGAATCATAGGCGCTATTTTTTTCCACGCTGTTCTCCTGATAATTAATGTCTCATGAGTTCTGATGGTTTTATAAAAGGGAATTCCCCTGCTCATACCCTCTTGCCTGCATCCATGTAAGACGTGTCCTTGCTCCTCTTTTGCCTTTTGTCATGATTCTGAGGCCTCCCCAGCCATGTGGAACTGTGAGTCTATTAAACCTCTTTTTTGTTCTATATAATTACCCAGCCTTGAATATGTCTTTATTAGTAGTGTGAGAAATGACTGATGTAGTAAATTTATACCAAGTAATGGAGTGCTGCTGTAAAGATCTCCAAAAATGTAGAAGCAACGTTGGAACTGAGTAAAATGCAGAGGTTGGAACAGTTTTTAGGGCTCAGAAAAAGATACGAAAATGTAAGAAAGTCTGGAACTTTCTAGAGATTTGTTGAATGGCTTTGACCAAATGCTGCTGATCTCGGATGAAGATAGGAACTTGTTGGGAACTGGAATAAAAGTGACTCTTGCTGTGTTTTAGTGAAGAGATGGTGGCATCTTGCCCCTGCCCTAGAGATCTGTGGAACTTTGAACTTGAGAGAGATGATTTAAGGCATCTGGCGAAGAAATTTCTAAGCAGCAAAGCATTCAAGAAGTGACTTGGGTGCTGTTAAAAGCATTCAGTTTTATGTATTTGCAAAGATATGGTTTGGAATTGGAACTTACGTTTAAAAGGGAAGCAAAGCATAAAAGTTTGAAACATTTGCAGCCAGATGATGTGATAGGAAAGCAAAACCCATTTTCCAAGGAGAAATTCAAGCCAGTTGCAGAAATTTGCAGAAGTAATGAGGAGCCAAATGTTAATCTCCAAGACATTAATCTCCAAGACAATGGAGAACATGTCTCCAGAGTATGTCAGAGAACTTCCAGGCAGCCCATGCTATCACAGGAGTGGAGACCTAAGAGGAAAACAATGTTTTCATGGGGCAAGCCCAGGGCCCTTCTGCTGTATGCAGTCTAAAGACTTAGTGCCCTTCTTCCTGGGCCACTGCAGCCATGGCTAAAAGGGTCAAGAAATAGCTTGGTCTGTGACTTCAAAGGGTGCAAGCCCCAAGCCTTGGAGCTTCCATGTGGTGTGGAGCCTGTGGGAGCACAGAAGTGAAGAAATGAGGTTTGGGAACCTCTGCCTAGATTTCAGAGGATGTATGGAAATGCCTGGATGTCCAGGCCGAAGTTTGCTGCAGGGGTGGGACCCTCATGAAGAACTTCAAGTAGGGCAATGCAGAAGGGAAATGTGGGGTGTGAGCTCCCACACAGAGTCCTCACTGGGGCACTGCCTTAGTGGAGCTGTGAGAAAAGGGCCACCATTCTCCAGATCCCAAAATAGTCGATCCACCAACATTTTTGCCATACACCTGGAATAGCCACAGGCACTCAATGCCAGCCCATAAAAGCAGCTAGGAGGGATGCTGTACACTGCAAAGCCACAATGGTGGAGCTGCTCAAGGCCATGGGACCCCAACTCTTGCATCAGCATGACTAGGATATGAGACATGGAGTCAAAGATCATTTTGAAGCTTTAAGGTTTGGCTGCCCTACTGGATATTGGACTTGCATGGGGACTGTAGCCCCTTCTTTTGACCAATTTCTCCCATTTGGAATGTGTGTATTTACTCAACACCTGTATCCCCATTGTATCTAGGAAGTAACTAACTTGCTTTTGATTTTACAGGCTCATAGGTGGAAGGGATTTGCCTTGTCTTAGAAGAGACTTTGGACTTGGACTTTTGGGTTAATGCTGGAATGAGTGAAGACTTTGAGGAACAGTTGGAAGGCAGGATTGGTTTTGAAATGTGAGCACATGAGATTTAGGAGAGGCCAGGGGCAGAATGACAGAGTTTGGCTCTGTGTCCCCACCAAAACCTCACCTTAAATTGTAATAATCCCCAGGTGTCATGGGAGGCACCTGGTGGGAGGTAATTGAATCACAGAGGCGGGTTTTTCCCATGTTGTTCTCACGATAGTGAAGAAGTCTCATGAGATCTGATGGCTTTATAAAGGGGAGTTCCCCTGCACATGCCTTTTTGTCTGCTGCCATGGAAGATGTATCCTTGCTCCTCCTTTGCTTCTGCCATGATTGTGAGGCCTCCCAAGACATGTGGAACTATGAAACCTATTAAACCTCTTTTTTTCTGTATAAAGTACCCAGTCTTGGGTATGTCTTTCTTAGCAGCATGAGAACAGACTAATACACCTGGTATGTAATATGTAACTGGAATATTCAGAATGTTCAAATGTAGCAAGTGATGAGAACAATAAAAATTCATTGGCAAAGTAGGAGACAAAATATTGCAGGACTCATGAACTGTAGACAGAGGAGCCAGGGAAGGCCAGAACACATCTCTGTCTTTGCAATCACATCTTCAATTGCTTATCCCAGAAACAAACTCAATATGGCCAATTTATTTTATAAATCTATTTTAGGAAAAGTGGGCTAATAGCAAAATGTACACAGTATGTTATGTTTATCAAATTCTTTACCAAAATTCTCTTGAGTTGTTACCTTGATATTTTTGGAGATTAAAGACCCAGAGTTAGAAAAACATCCACCTTTTGACATGTGGGCTACCAGTTTTATTTCCTGTGCTCTAGGTGAAGAGTTAAATGTGTTTGGGTTTGACTAGAACTCACTGTGTAGGAGGACATCATTTTTTATTTTTATTTTTATTTTTTATTTTTTGATGGAGTCTCGTACTGTCACCCCACTGGAGTGCAATGGTGCCATCTCCGCCTCCCAGGTTCATGTGATTCTCCTGCCTCAGCCTCCCAAGTAGCTAGGATTACAGGCACACACCACCACACCTGTCTAATTTTTTGTATTTTTACTAGAGACGGGGTTTCACTATGTTCACCAGACTGGTCTCGAACTCCTGACAACGTAATCTGCCCACCTCAGCCTCCCAAAGTGCTGGGATTATAGGTGTGACCCACTATGCCCAACCTCTCATGGTGTTTTATCGTTACTTTGTTAATGACTTAATCAGATGGCAGCACAAACTTGTGCTCCTTGCCACTGGGAGGATTTGTAGCATGGAAGAAAGCAGAAATTGCCTGTGTATTACTTATCTTCCAATCATTTACTTTTAAATGATTCATTTTTTTTCTCTATTAACTAAAGTATTTCACATGAGGGTTTCTTCCCCAGCCAGAGCCATGAACTACTGAGTTGAAGCATGTCAAAGTGACATCCCGGAAACAGAAGCCATGACTAGACCATGTATCTGGGAATGTAGAGCCATGAGCCTTGAGTCTCGTGTCTTGGAAAGCTAAACATTGAGCCACTGGATCCCAAGGCCCCACTGTTTCCTCAAAAATGAAGATGTCAAAAACTGGAAACAAATCAATATCCAATTCAGGAGCATAAAATAACAATTTGTGCTACGCACATGCACTGAAATGTTACTCAGTCATAAAAGGGAAAAATTACTAATATATGCAATAACATGGATGAAAAAATGTTTCAATTATGAGTGAAAGAAGCCATAGAGGAAGGAACACATACCCTGTGATTCCAATTATGTAAAGTTCTAGATTAGGAAAAACTAACGTATAGTGATAGAAATTCAGTCACTACTTATCTGAGGAGGAAGTGGAAGGAGATTGAGAACAATGGGCATGACAAAACTTTCTGGGGTGACAAAATTGGTTTGCCTGTTCATTGGGATGTTATTATACTAGAATATTCATGTGTCTTTAACAAAGAAATTGTATTCTTAAAGGGGGTACATTTTCTTTGACGTAAATTATGCAAAAATAACATTAAAATTTTGAAGCAAAAATGGTCAGTGGTTGTAATAATAGATTTTTTTTTTCTTGATTTCTGGCTGGACACACTCCATAAATCTGTAAAAATTTTGGCAAGAGGAAGTGGTTTTTATAGTGTCTGAGTTGTAATTACCAACCACCCAAGTTGGATGGAGAATTGTATACAGAGTGGATATAATTCAGAGGAACCGAATTGTTGACTTAAATATGTACTTGAAAATATAATTACAAAGGTAAAATCATCTCAAAATAAATGAATTTAGAAATTTTATTATAAGTAGTATTTTAAATGTGCATAATGTTATAAAATCTTGTCAGTGTGAAGTCTGTGCAACAGTATCATTTTAAATGACAGAGTAGGTACTATACAAATCTCTGACATAGAAGACAGAAGATTCCTGTGCTTGGGTTTTGGCCATTCCATTTCCAAACCTTAGAAGTTCATGGACCCTTTATCCAACTCTTCTTAGTTATGTTTTTGGACTATCAGCACATTTTGTGTAATATAACTTACAGCACTCATCAACTATTACATGTTATTATATTTTTTCTTTGTCTAAAAGCCTCTCTCTTTCTGCCCAACTTTTCAGTGTGGACTTTGGCATCTAATAGCCCTAGGGTCAACTTCTATTTATGAGGTGTGGATCTTAGACAAGTTATTTAACATCTCCCATCCTCTGTGTTCTCGTATATAGGAGGGGCCTCATAATCATTCTTACCTTCTAAGATGCAATGCCAGGTGTAGAGAGCATGCCATTATACCGCTCCTGTATAGTAGTCATAAGCTATAGCCCAGAAGCAAGGTGACGTTAAAATGCACTTTTCGGTAAAGTGCTTCTAAATTTTTTTATGCTTCATTTTAATATGTTAAATAAACAGTAATTTCATTTTATGAATAGGAACAAAGAGAAAAAACTGACTCCAATTCTTGGTAAGCACAAGTCGGAGAATTGAGTGAGAAGCCAGAGTCCACTTCAATACTTGTTCAATGTGATGTGCTTCTTTCCAACTGGGCACTACACTGGAAAATCTGGATTGTACAAGCAGACAAAATGGCTTGTTTGTGTCATTGAGAAATAAATGACATTTGTGTCAGTGGGAAATAAATTCCAAGGGACAGACTGGGTGAAGACTACGATAATTTATGAGTTCCAGTTTGCAGCTCTTTACATAAACCTGGGATTCTAGGATATAGAAATCCTTTATGCAAGGGGAGCAGAAGTATGATTCTCCAGAACCGCTCAATAAAATTGCTTCAAAGAAAAAGCCATTGAATTTCAGAACTGCCTGAAGTGTATCTTTCACTCCACTTTATTATTGTATTCTGAACATGGCACCTCTGTGACTTTTGTTTCCATATCCTTTGAGGTTCTTCTGGAAAGCAAAGCTTGATGCTGCCTTCTGGGCTTGAGGATGTGGACATAGCTGGGTTGTCCTGTACTGCCTGAGGAGCTGCAAGAGACAAGGAACATCATGAACAGTGGCATCCCTCTTCTTATAGTTTCACCTCTGGATGAAGCTACAAAAGAGGAAATATATTCCTAGAGGACAATCCTAATCTAATCATTAACACAGTTGAGTGTGTTTGCTGCTAATGGAGCACATTTAAAGCCAGAGATTTCTAGGTATGCATTACAGGGAGTATCTACTTTCATATTGGAGGATAAGTATTTCTACAAGCATTTTAGATGAAAACATAGAGAGAAGGCTTTTCAAGGCCATGCGTGATAAAGCACTCAGGAAACAGTCAATCCATAATATAAAACTGTTAAAATATGATTTCTTTTCAAAAGATTCAAACCCTAGGATAAAATTTAATGGAAACGAGTCTTAATTAGCATTAATTAATTTTTAAAAGATGTGTTTATCCTTTTATTTATTTACCTAATAGACATAGTGGTAAACGCAGGAAATATTTTTTTAATGATCCTTTTTCCCGTCCTTCAGCATCTCCTCCTACAATGTATACATATGGGAGGACAAGAATATTGAATACATAAACTAGAACAAATATAAAATAGAATGATGAATGCTAAAATCATGGTGTGCTCTAGATGGATTCATAGCACTAAACATTGCTTGCACAAATCTACGAGGAAATGTTTTCACAGAGTTTATGTGAGAAAATCTTTGAGGCTTTTACTTCCTCACAAGATCAACACAATCTGACAATGTGATGCACTTGTTAAAGAAATTAATGTCATCTTCATTTCAAGATAGAACTGAGTGTTCTAGATATCCAGAGGATCTTTTAGAAACTATTAAGGCAAAATAATAATATTTAATTTTGCAAACAAATTTGAAAAACTGCTATGCAGTCGGATAAACAAAGGCAGCATGAAGTGTGTGGACATGGAGAAGAACTAATTAGAATGATTATGTTGGAGAAAACTATAAAATAATAATTTAGTAGAAGAAACGTTTGGTTTCTTTGTAAAGATTTGTGAAAGCAATAGGAAAAAACTGAAGAAAAGCATTTGAGTTATTTTTGAGAATACAGTATTTGGTTATTTAGTGAGTATCCCATGCTGTGAAACATTTAGGAAAGCATTCATCAGGTAATCATCCTTAATAAATTCAGTAGAGTAGTATCTGAACTTGACAAAAATGTGCATTTCTAGCCTCTAAATTGCTTTCAAATGTAAGTTTCTTTTATTTTAAGGGGGGCACGTAAGGAATAAGAGTTCTTTAATAAAATAATAGAAGTAAGAATGGAGAGAAATTTTCAAATTTGAGAGAAGAATGCATAAAACTTGGCCATGGCTTGAATATTGGAGGTGCATGAGAGGAAAGGGGCCAAGATGAGTTTCAGGTTCCTGGTTTGAACAACTGGTGATGGTGGCATCAAAAACCAAGTTACACAAAACTGGAAGAGAAGCAGGGTGGGGAAGAATGGCATGTTCAGCTCTGAAATTGTTTAGATAAAGGTGTCTTTGGGAGATGTTGGGGAATATTTCAGTAGGCTTAAATAATGTAGTTTGGTACTTATTTGGGTAATCAGAATTTGAGATACAAATTCAGAATTTGTTAGTATAATATGAGTAGTAAAGCTTTGGAAACAGCTTCTGCAAAAACAGAATGGATTAAAAAAGAAAATTATATGATAAATCTGTGGGAATTCTCCATAGCCCCTTCAAGCACGGCTCATTCTACTGAATTAATGTTAAGGAAGATGGGGTTCAAGAACGCTCTTCATTTAAAAACAACATTACCTGGGAAGAAAGAAAGTCCTCCTTGGGAGTCTTGTGTACTAAGCTAATTTCCAGGTATCGGACCTATAAAAAGATGAAGAACATTGAAACAGCCACTTATCATCTCTGGAAAACTTTACAGCAATGCGTAAGCCACCCCTCACTACAAATTCCTCCCACAACCCTGACTAAATGACAGTAAATGATGTTCAAGGGCACCAAAGCTCCGATCCTCACCATGTTGTAGGTCCAAGGGATTATAAGAATGGACAAGCTCATTTCCTGAGCACTGTATCAGGTCTCAGGAGGGCTGCAAGTGGTGGAAGTCCAGGCCTCCCAGTATGATCTGCAGCCTGGTAACAGGCAAGTGGGTGATCTCACTCAAAAGAAAATGCAAGGGGGCGATGGGAGGAAAGGGTCCGGTTGAAATCTTCACTTTTCTGTAATCATTGAATGTATTCCCTGAATGTATCATCATCACTTAAATATACTTTGTTCTTCTCAGAGGGCAAAATTTTGAAAAGAATTTATAAAAAGTACTTGAATACAGACCCTAAAGCTCATGTCAAACAACTACATAAGTGCCTAGGGACACGCTGGACACAAAATAATAAATCAATCAATAAATATTGTGCCTTGCCAGGAACACTGGAACATATAGTATGAAGCTTTTTAGATAGTTCTCATGACCTTTAGGAAATTAGCTACCACGTACTTAGAACAGAAAATGAACTTTAATCAGAAGAGGGCCACTGAGGCTGAAGGAAAAAAATCAAAGGAGAGTCAAGGGACATGCAATAGGGCCCCTGCTACAGAAATATGACCGAAAGGCAGAGATAAGAAGATATCCTGCAGGTTTATATGACTAGTAAAGAAATCAAATGTTAGGCATGAAGACAGGCCGTAGGTGAACTTGAGTGTGAGTCACTGACCCTTACCTGCTGAAAGTCCCAGCGTCCCTGCCAGGTACCTGTCTTCTTCACAAATGTATGTAACGAAAATTTGGGATGCCTGTGCCCCTTTGCGAATAACAGAGTCAATCACAGCTCGGGTCTTATCCATAACTGTAGGATTTTCACGTTTTATTTTCTCCATCTCTTCCTGGTTCAGCACCCTTGTCTGTAATAATTCAT